ACACACACACACACACACACACAGCAGCTAAACACGTACAGGGGTGAACAAAGAAAGAAAACTGAATGTTTTCCAATGAACAAAGTAGAACCTGAAAAGTCTTGACTAACGAGACTCCCTGCCCTGTAGTCGTGCTCCTCCACCAACCAGTTTAGTTTCAGTCTACATTAATCCTTTTCTAGAATCATATAAGGTCACCATGACCTTTGCCCTCTGAAATCGAATCCGTTAAACCTCTAGTCCGAGTGACGACTAAAGACAAAAAGGGGACAACATTCTCAAAAGGCAGCCATGAGATATCACAGTCAAGAGGCCAAAAACATGTTTTGTGAGGCCACTTTGACCTTTGACCACCAAAGTCTGATAAATTAATCTGTGAGTCTAAGTGAACGTTTTTTGCTAAATTTTTAACAATTCTCTTTGTTGTTCTTGAGGTATCGTGTTCGCAAGGCAACTGTGAAGAGACTGTGACCTTCGAACACCAAATTCTAATCAGTTCATCCGTGATCCCAACTGAACATTTGTACCAAATTTGAAGACATTTCCTCAAGGTGTTCCTGAGATATCGTGTTCACAAGAACCCCTCCGGCCTCTGACTGTCGCTGAGGCATAAAAAAACTGTTTCTTATCTTTTTAAACAACATTATAATGTAAATATTAAATTAAGTTTAATTCAAGGAGAAATCTGGTGCTAACAAGTTCTATAGTGGCAATCAAATAACCTGAGATTTATAGGCTGCATGATTTAGTGTAGAGGTGAGAGTAGAGGTAAGACGTCACATATTTACCTGTAGCTGGCATACAGGTCATTTCCCTTTAATGAACCATGAAGGGTAAACCGAAAACCTCCTTGTCCTCATCCTCCCACCAGCAGCAACACCTCCCACCTCCTCTGGACCAGGGATTAGAGTTACACAACTTTAAAGATCTTTTCTATCTCTCTGCTGATCTCTGAGGCGTTATTGTACCTTTATTAAAGAGACGTCTGTATAAATAGATGTAAGACACGGTGGCTGCTCTCGTGATATTTATTTAATGAACTCTGGAGGATGAATATTCCACACCGTGACGTGGTGATTGTTCGCCTGCTGCAGTTAGACATGTTGCTGCAAGATGTTCAAATGTATAAGAAGACGTTCGTCCTTACACAGGTGTAACTTGTTCTGGTGCGTGTTTAATGACTCATCACCGGAGAAGGAGAACTCGCTTTGTGATCTGAGCTGCAGGCAGGAATTTAACAAACATCCTCCGTAACATTAAAAGTCCTTCCGCATGACAGTTATTCATTTTACATTTCAGTCATGTCTGTAAAATTCATTAATTCACATTAGGATCCAAAAGCTGCTTTTAATAGCTTCACGCTGCTAAACACTATTTCCCTTCATGTTATCTTTATATAACTTCACTGTTTGGCTTGAATACACTTGTGCTGTGCTGAATCTCATAATCCGTCGGGCAGTGGTGTCCCCACTATTTTAGATTTGTACTTATTGCAGAAGACAACAATATCAACTTATATTTATTATAAAGATTTATAATTCTCTTTATTTTCATTCTTAACATTTACTCCAAATCATCACACTGACACTCATCAGAACATTTAATCTTCCCTGTTTAGCTCAAATCATTTATTGTGTGAACCTGATAAAAGTTCATATTGTCTTTTAAGTGAAAAAAAATATCCTAAATTGATACTACTAATAATAAAACGTTCTGTTGCTGGGTTTCTTTGTCCACTCACTATCATTTACAATAACACAATGACACTAGTCAGTACATAGTGAAGCATGGTTGCGTTGTAAACAGAGATGTGTGTATATACAGTGTGGTTGTGCCGTGACCTCTGTGTGAGTACTGTCAACACAGAAACGTTGAGCAGGTGGGTACATTCCACCCCCACTGAAAAAAGCCTTAACACTTTATGCTTTTCAACCACAGGGTTAACCTGTTTATTTATTATTATTATTATTCCTATGACTATTATTATTTAGATGTACATGACACAGACAAAATAACAAAACATAAACACAATAAAAATGGGGGTCACATCCACCACATACCTGGAATGATGGCACCAGTGTAGTCCGCTCCTGTTGCCAGATCTGGGCCGCAAGTAAACCAGCACAATTCCCTGTGTCAACCAAAGGTGACCTGAATTTGTTTGGTGTTATTTGGACCATATTCACCAATTACCACATGGGCCACTTGAGTTTCACATCCAGATTCGACCACGTTTGCCAAAAAAGGCCCCACATTTGTTTTGTGATGCTTGGGCCACATTTGCTATTTTACAAGTGGGCAACAGCCTGAACGAGCCCACATCCATATGCCGGGGTACCATCACCCCTAAAACAACCTGTGGCAGAGCATCCACAGCAACCTAACTATGAGATCAAACTTTACTGAATGTTATAGTTCCTTCACCTGACAGCCAGTCTGGTCTCTGGGGCCCTGATCTCCCTCGTGTTCCAGATTCTGGGGACACTGTCTCTTTAAAGCGCCGGAGGAGGCGTGTAGGGACGTCGAGCGGCGGTGCGCATTGACGGTACGCGTCCTCTCGTGTCTTGTGAATGATAGCTGCCGTCTCAGGTCGTGTGACATTGTGGCTGCGCAAGACACCGCGGCACCAAAGTGACTTTACGGGCTGACGGAGTGAACAGTGAGAACGGCTCGCTGGCTGAGGCGCGCACCGGCTCCTGGTTTTTACGCACGGCGCGGTTCTTCTTCCTGTCCCGTCTCATGTCAGCTCCGTGGTAATTCAGCCTGACCGGCAGAGGAGAGAGGACTGACACCTCTCACATCCACACGGTTCCTCCTGCACCGAGGAGTGTGTTGAACTTACCGAGTGAAAGACCTGCTCCATTTGGACGCCGCTTGTTCTCAACTTCAAAGTGCCAAATTCAAAAGTTTACCGGTGACTTTTCCTGCGCATGATGTACACTATCACCAGAGGTCCCAGCAAACTCGTCACCCAGCGACGCACAGGTCAGGGTCTGGACCTTTATGCCACATTTGTGACATTTTGATCAATGGATCTTGTTTGAAAACTCAACGCTCACTTTATCTTTATTCCCCAGGGCCTACGCAGCAGCTGGAGAACAAAATAAACGATTTCAAGCACAAACAAACCTCCTGGAATCTGCCTGAGTAAGTGAAGTGACTTTAAAAGAATTAGAAATGGAATGAAGAATCCTATAAATGCTCCAAGTCGTGTATCTGTGATGCTTTGTCACGTGAAGATTTCACTGGGTTTTAGATTGCTGCATGTTTGCCAACTTTGCATTGGTTGTGTTGGGGAGGGGGGTGGGGGGGTGTTAGTGACTAATGAGAGTGTCCATGTACGTCATCAGCTTGAGACAGGCAGAGTTACACCTCCACACTGTGGCCTCCCCAGGGCTCGGCCTGTCTGTGGGCTGATTTCATGCCGTTGACCCGGCAAGGCTCTGCGTGTGACCTTGGGAAGGCGAGGTGGCACATGGTCGTTCATTCAGCTGTTGCACTCTCTGACTCCTACACAACCAACCTTGCTTGACTTTTAAGCCCAAAGGCTGATACTTCCTGCAGGAAAACTATGCAACTCCTCCCTCCCCCCGTGGACTACCTGTAACATGGTCTTCTTTTCCTTGTCCCCACCAGGCTCCCTGCACCCAAGATAGTTTTCAACCGCCTGAACGGTAAAAAGTATCATCACTCTGCTCCGGCCCTCCCCGCAGACGATCATCAGGAAGAGACTTTCACCGCTGCACATGAGGAAAATGTAAAGTTTCTTTATGAGGGTAAGGAAGTAAAATGGAACGGCTGGACTGGAAATACGAGAATATGACACCAAACTAGACTTTTCTCTGTCTCTATGTATCCACTGGCCATTTTGTGAATTATATTTTCTCTCTCAGAGTTTACTACAACTTCTAACCAGCTGCCGCCCTCTCCCTCCCACACCTCACCCACACAGCTGCTCTGATACTGATAGCCATGATAGGCGCAGAGCAGAGACGTGTTATCACTCAGTCGTGCTCCTGCATGATGACCCGCGCTGGCTAACTTGTGGGAGACCCGACCGCATGTTTGGTTTTGGCTCTAACCCATCAGCCTTTTTGTCTGCTTTGAGCAAAGACAACAAAAGCTCCAGACAGGGTCCACGTTTTAGTGAGTTTTGGGTGAAACTCTACACACTGACCCAGTTTTGAAGCCTGCAGCCTCTTTTTTAACGTCCACACACTCAGTCTCCAGGAGACTTTATTTGGCCTCCGCTCATGATTTGTGTCCCGCGAGTTGTTGGTGTTGGCTCTCAGTCATCGCAGCTCACAAACAACTTCAGTAACCTTGTGGATGGTTGAACAAGGACACAAGGCAGCCTCCCTCCCCCAGGCCAGCAAGTTTGCTGTTCAGGGTTGATTCCTTCACTTTGAACACTTGAGTGTTTGATATGAAAACTTGTCTGTATGAGTTTTCTGAAAGTCGTGTCCTGAAGGCAGCTAGAAGACCAAAAGTCAATTGTGATCATTATAGCTCACACACACACACACAACTTCTGATTCTATCACAGTGAGGACACAATGCATTCCCTCTGTAACTTAAATCTAACTCTAACACTAACAAACAGGTTTTAAGTTTAAAAATAAGCTTTTGATACACACACACACACACACACACACACACACTACACGTGACATGTCCACATGCTGCATTATTTGAAACATGAACGTTAGCCAGCAGCAGCTCTTTGAAGCAGTTGTCCTTGTGTACTTTAAGTGTTTGACACTGTGGGTGTGACCCTGTGGTGCAGGACTTTAAAAAAAGAACAAACTTGGACAGATAAGATTATGTTCTGTTACATACTCTTTTTTTTTTCTAATAAATAAACTTAAAATAATCGTCAAACCTCGTTTTGATTCTCTGACATTTTGTGTATTTGAATTTTACCATAAAGGATGAAAAACAAAGTTATATTTGTCTGAAAGTTTTTAAATTGTACTGATTGTGTTGTTGTGTTTCCAGCCTGGCAGGAGGTGGAGCAGCAGGAGCACGGCCCCGAGGAAACTCAGGCAGCAGTTCACTTTAAAGAGACCACTGCCAGCCCACACATGGACAGTGAGTACTGCTTCCCCTCCTCCTCCTCCTCCTCTTCCTCCTCTTCCTCCTCCACAAACTGCTGCTTTTTTCAGGTTCAAGATCTGTATCTGTTTTATGGCTGAACTATAGTGTTCATGTAAACTACGACTGCTTTAAAGGTGGGGAGGGTGAGGTGAGGTTTTCAGCTGCAAAATGCAATTTCACAACTAGATGTCACTAAATTCTACACACTCAACCTTTAAAACCCACAGCTATGAAAATTAAGAGGTTTCAGAATCAAGTGTTACTGGTCAGGTGCATTGGCACGTGTGGCCCTGAGAGTTTTTTGAAGTATTGTCACTTCTTAACATTTTTCGTGTTTAGTCTTTTATTATCACAGACCACAGGCCTGTAATCACTCAGGTTGGATTGGTTTAAAACAAACCAGCCAACTGAGAATCTATGGAGCTGCCTCTGATCCTTCCAGCTGGCAGGAAACTATCAGAGGCCTTTCTCTCCCCATTGTCCGAAGTAAATGTGACAACTTTGGCAACACATCACAAATACTAATCTAGTTCACACACTCGGATTTAAAAAACAAACAATGTAACATAGAACACATGCGATGAATTAAGATGACGTTCGAGGGATTGGGATTAGAATGTGCATAATATAATATTCAGTGGTGTCTTTAGTGAGAAGTAAAATCAAACGTGAAGACAAAATTTTATTGTTTGTGCTTTGGGATTTGATAACTTTGCTTCTTAATTCCTTCACTTATGTGTACGTTATATAAAAATATGTACAACAGTGCGTCTGCTGCTCGAACCCTTTGTTCCAGTTTGAGTGGTAATAGTGATAATAATCATAATATTAACTAATACTTAAGGTTAAAACTGAGAATTAAAACAATCGAAACGACACCAAGGACCTGGTTTGTTTTTTATTTGTGGGGGGGGGGGCCTGTACATAGCGCTACGGTAACATGTTGTTGACCTAATGCAGAAATGACTGGAGTAATACAGCAAGAAATCCAGAAACAGGTTTTTTTTAAACATTTTTTCCTTATCACCAACTGCGTTCATTCATTTTCCGTTTCAGAGGCTACGAGCACGGTTATATACTTTTAATGTTTCTCATTAAGTAAATGACTTCATTTCTTCTCCCTTCAGACTTTGTGCCCATTGACCTGGATGAATGGTGGGCCCAGCGCTTCCTAGCCAACATCGACAAGCTGTCCTGACACTGTTCTAGGACCAGCGGATCTTAACCGGCGGTCAGGAGGAGAGTCTCTGGCTCCAGGATACGTGGGAGCTACAGGTGTGATGGGTCAGAGTGTCCTGATGTGATTCACGTGGACAGACAGCGCTGGGACGCTGCCGTAGAAACCACAGAGAATCGCCCTCACTCGAACTCCAGCCTTCTAACTGCAACCCACTCCACACCAAACATTCAGTCTGCCACAGGCGGCACGCTGAAGGACAATGTCTAGATTTTTCTCACCATCAACACAGAGATGTCATGCTACTTTGAAATGCAGTAAAGTTTTTTTCTTTCCCAAAAATCTCTGAATTGGCATCTTTTTTCATTGTCACAAGAATATGTCCAAGTTTATTCACCTTCATTTATGATGCAGCCAAAGCTTCATAAACAGACACACACCATTTTAAAACTGTTTATATACATTTGGCCACATTTAGCTTCTTGTTAAACAGATGAACATAATATTAAGTATGAATAAGGTAAAACAGGATAGGACTAGAAAAAGAACAGTAAACGCTCCATCAGTCTGAAGGATGCAACGCTCGTCTTCATGAACTGCGGTTTATTAACCCTTCTCTAACTCACACTTAAGAAGTGTTTGCATCCAGGATATTCAGTATGTGCAGGTCACTGACTTGAATCATATGCATAAGATGTTTTCAGACATGAACTCCAGAACATTTACACACAATTGGGTCTAGACATACTCCAGACTTTGTCTTTCACACATGAAGAATGCAGCAGGACATTGTCCAGGTCGGACGAGTTCAACAGAAAAAACATTTTTTTGTTTTCAATCAAATCAACACCGGCGTCGGCCTTTATCACCACAAGCTCTCAAATCTCGTCTTTCCAAGTTGACATCTTATGTGTCTTCTAAAAATGTCAGTGAAACCTTAAGGACAACCTGCTGCTGTATTCTCACATGGGCTCACTAGGACATTCTCCGGAGTTTTTACTAGACGTCTGGCAGGAAAACTCCGGAGAATGGGACTGATTCTCACATACAGCTCCTCCGAATAGTTTCAGGGGAATGTCTGGAGTTCAGTGCCTGTCTAAAAGCAGATTTACTGGAACCTTTCCTGTTTTTAAATGGCAGCACATGGTCGGAGTATGAAAGTCAGACTGAAAGACGAAAGAACAAACTCCAGCTCAGCACAGCCCAGTCTTAGATATTACCAATATTTGAAACTCCTGATGAAACGATGTTGAAAAAAGAGCGTAGCGACATGGAAATGTTTATGGAGAAGCTCTGTAGGACGCTGCTGGCCCTTCATCTCTCTCCAGCCTTTATGTGCTCTCCATAAGAGGACATGAAGTACACCAGAGGGGAAAGAGACGTGTTTTTATGGATTGGTGTAACGCCTGTAGTGCTCTTCAGAAACCTTAGTTCTCCAGCTTGGTACAGCTTCAGTGGCTGCAACTGCTTCAGTCATCAAAGCCAAGTCCGTCTGCACTGCTCATGTGTGTGAGGCTCTCAGTGCTTCTCCAGAGCTTTAGTCAGAAGATCGTTCAGGCGGGAAATCATCGGTCGGGGATCATCGTTCAGGCCTGCTGTGATCATGGCGTTGTCGTAGATCTAAAAGAAAATAGAGAGTAAAGTAAGTAAGAGTTTAACTTTGCACAGGAAGGATGTTAAACTATCAGCAAATCTTTTTAAAAGATGCAAATATCCTCAGAATCTTTATTTATTAGTTTTTAATGTCATCAAAAGTGAATGTATTCACAATGTATCTCCCTATAAAGCAACAGAAGCAGCTCAGACAAGAAGGCTTCTTATTAAACATGTGTTTACCTGCTCCAGTAAGAGTTCGGCCAGGTCCGAGTTTGTGTCTTTCAGTGAGTGCAACTTCTTGATCAGATCATGTCTATAAGATGGTGGAAAATGTAAACGACATTGAGAGCTGGACATAAAACCGACTGGATTTCAAGTTGTACCATCGCATATTTTTACGCCTTCAATTGACTCAGGTATAAATCCACCCATCTCTCACCCTGCGTTGATCTCCAGTGTGGGCTGCAGTATCTGAGCTCTTTCCTCGGAGGTGCGGGCCATCTGCTGAGTGCGCAGGAAATGGCGTGCAGCGCCCATTTCCAGCACGGTGATCATCGCTGGGTGGGTGTCGAGACGAGGGGTAAGCTGTGGGACCAGTCAGGAAACATAGTAAACATGTCCGGGGGAGGTTACAGTCGAGATGGGTTTTAAGCCAGTTAGGATGAAACGAGCCACGTCAGTGCATCACTGTCTATGTCGCTACGCCTCAACAGTACAAATAAAAGCCACCCACACACACACACACACCCTGACTCAGCAGACGACTCTGACCCGCTACAGTTTAAACGTTGAGTTGCCCCCCCCCTCGCTTTCCTCTCTCTAGCATTGACACATACACACGCACTCACACACACCGTGTCGTTGGACACATCTGTAAACTCAGACTGAATGTGCGCAGCTATGAAGACAGATTTTAATCATCGAAGAAAAACATTGATCATTATGTGTTGACCACTGTTGATAATGTATGGGTGGTTACAAACAGTCAACTGTAGTGGGTCAGAGACAACAGCTGACTCAGTGTCTGTGTGTCTGTGTCTGTGTGTGTGTCTGTGTCTGCGCGTGTCTGCATGTTCAGCCTGAGAGAGAAGACAGTGTATTGAGTCAGGTTGGACTGAAACAATGAATATATAATTTAACATGATCTGAAAGAATGAACATTGTAGTGTCTCTCTGTTAACACGATTTAAATCGTTCACGTCGTTCATCTATTTTAGAGCATGACAATTTGTGCACATACACAAGCATCAGCCCTGTGAATTTCAGATTCCTGAACACACATTAATCTCATCTTTACCTTTATGTTGGTGACTCGGGGGCCAAGAGCGTTCTTCATCCAGGCAATCAGGTTGTCAGCCTGCTCCTGTGTCAGACGCTCAGAGGCTGCAGAGGAAAGACGACAGGAAACAAGGGTCAGGATTACGGCCCTGACAGCAAGAGGCCTCCTGCTACAGCTGCAAATATGGAATACTAAACATTGACGCGAGGGGGAGGGGGTTATGATGGTATGAACTTTGCGATGAGAGCGAAGCAGACCTGGTTTGCTGTCCTCAAACTTCTCCTCCTTATAGTGATCCACCACGATGTCCGTCTCAACGGAGATCAGTTTCTTCTTGTCGAACTCCCTGAGGTGGAGCAGGGTCAGCTCATCGAACTGCTCGAAGCAGAACAGCACCTGCGAAGACACATGCCGCGCTTTTCACTGGATTTTTCATGGACTGTGTTTTTTTTTTTATTGGCTTCCAATAAAATCAATAAACGAAATTGAACCATCACTATCTGTCACGTCAGCCTCTCACCTCCATATCTTTCTGTTTCATGGCCTCAAAGTACGGGGAGTGCTCTGCAAGATGGCGGTTGGGGGCACACAGGTAGTAGATGTTGCGTGTGCCAGCCTTCATTCGAGAGCTGTACTCCATCAGATTGGTCATCTGACCCGTCGGCAGAGCGGACGACTCAAACCTCAACAGCTTCGCGATGTCCTCCTGTATGAAGACAGCTGCTGGTAAGACAACATGTTGCTGGACAGTGATGCTTTCTCCTTCCATCTTTATTAACAAGGAGTTGTCACCTTGACGTCCTGCTCCTGGGTGGTGATGATGCCCTCCCTCATGAAGAGGCTGTAGTCCTCAAAGAACTTGTTGTACTTCTCCGGCTCCTTCTTGCTTTGGTCCAGCAGGAAGCGGATCACCCTCTGCTGCAAAACGTCACGGAGCTTCCTGAAGGTCAGAGGTCAGGGTTAAAAAAAATGAATCATCAATCAACTATAAAGAAAATGTGACAATTTTGTTCTAGGGTTGGCAATCACAGGGAAAGGGAAGAGATTACATATAAAACACAGTCAGTTGTCAAACTGGTCTTATACCTGATGAGGGCGCTCTCTTGCAACAGCTCTCTGCTCAGATTCAGAGGGATGTCCTCACTGTCCACCACACCTACACAGACACGCACCCACACACAAAACCTGTGAGGGACACTCATTGACATAGTGCATTGGATTCCTTATCCTCTTAAGGTTCATTTAAAGGTTGGATGCATTTATGGAAACAAATGAAACGGAGCAGTACCACCGAAAATCTGAGGAACCTTTAGAACAGAAGCTCTTAAAGGTCCAGTGTGTAAGATTTAGGTGAAAGGGAACTATTGGCAGAAATTTAATGCAGAATAATTCTCATGATGTTTTCACTAGTTCATTTAATCTAAATTGTACAAATTGTATTTTTCTTTACCCCAGAAAAGACCATTTATATTTAAATACTTTATATTTACATCGAGGGGACCCTCTCTACGGAGGCCGCCATGTTTTTTTACATTAGTCCAGACTGGACAAACTAAACACCTTTTGAGTTTTTATGACAACTGAAGCTACCAGAGGTTCTTTTTCATGTTCGGAAGGAGAGGGTGAGGTGAGTGGTGAGACTCGATATCACAAAATTCTACACACTGTACCTTTAACCTCGCCTACAAAGAAAATCAAGCACATCAAAGTGGAGGATCCAAACCTTGGAGGAAGCGCAGCCACTTGGGGAGGATGTCACTCGCTTTGGTCTGGATCAAGACCTTCCTGCTGTACAGAGCCACGCTGGAGCCCATCTCCCTGCTCACGTCAAACATGCTCGGCTTCTGTTGGTAAATACAATCTTTTATCAAACCTTTGATATACATCAAACTTGAATTTAATACATTTCTGTCTGGAGAGAGAAGAGCGTAAATTAATGAATCGAGGGGTTTGTTCAACCGGACCCAGGCCTTGAAGTTTACTGGTTTGATTCCCTAATGTAAGGCTTCCTCTGAGCTTGGCAGTGAGAGTAACAGAACATGTGCTGAGCTTCTCACCGCATCAGGAACATAGAAGATGCTTCGGATGTTGAGCGGTGCATCGGCACGGTAGTGCAGCGTGTAGCGGGGCTTGTCGTAGGCCTGGGCGATGTAGCGGTAGAACTCCTCATGCTGCCAGTCACTGATCTCCTTCGGCTCCATCATCCACAAGGCCTGCAGGGAGACGGAGGTCAAATAATGGTTAGCATTTTATTACAATGAAAACTTTCAGCTCAGACTAATTTTTACATGTTTGCTAATGTAAAATCTTCATTCTCAGGGCATCCACCTCAGATGGAATTGTTAAAACATTTTACCTCTATAGGGACAATGTGTTCAGTTAGAGAATCTCATTTTATAATTATCTACTAATATGTAGAGATCAAGTTAACAAGACCACAGCCTCAATTCACCCAAAATCTTCCCTTCACATCAAGTTTTTTCTTTCCATAAATACTCTTCTGTTGTGTTTTTAAAGAAAACATTAGTAATACCTGCAGAGTGTTGAGCCGACGTCCATTCAGGAAAATGGGGAAACTGACAAAGTTGCTGTACTTTGTTACAACCTCTGAAAGAAATACAACAGGTCATCGTCATGTGGAGTGATCCATTAATGAATGTGATCTCTCTGAAGAAGCCTCAGCAGTTTTACCTTTAACTCTGTCCTCAGAGGAAAACTCCTTGCAGTCGTCCTTGAGGTGCAGCGTGATCTTTGTTCCCTGTTGAACACCACCAGCTTCAGCAATCTCAAAAACTCCAGAGCTGGCAGAGACAATGACAGAGAACATGTGAGGATCATCAGGATCACAGCTACATGAACACATTCCTTTTACTGTAAAACAGAATCACACCCACGAACTGAAACAAAATGCTTCCTCGTATTGCTCTCACCCGTCTGATGACCACTTGTACCCAGGTGCATCGGGCTCAGCTGAGCGCGAGTAAACGTCCACATGGTCGGCCACCATGAAGGCAGAGTAGAATCCAACCCCGAACTGACCGATGATGGAGCTGCTGGCCTCCGCCTGGTTCTGCAGAGCGTCCAGAAATGCCTGTAATAAATAGAGGAGATGATTATTTTGACAGAGAGTGAGAACAGCAAGAAACATCATATACACACGTTTGAACAAGCTGTTTACTTACTGAACAAATGAGATGCATTTACATGAATTAATAAACAACGAGTAATAATGAGTCACCTTTGAACCGGAGCGAGCGATGGTCCCCAGGTTGGCCACCAGCTCCTCTTGGTTCATCCCCACTCCAGTGTCCTGTTGGGACAGAAATTCCTCAGTCAGTCATAGTCATTGTAGATTGTAGTACCATATTTATCCACCAGGTGGCAATCCGGGTCAAAACCAGACCAGGAAACAAACATTAAGAAACAACCTGTGATGATTCAGATATATTTCATTGAAAAGAATTCGGTGGGAGCATCTATGTGGTTTTACTGGAATACATTTGTAAAATTAGCTGTTGCAGGCCAACAATGGAACTCATCCCCACACTGAGTGAAGAAGAGTGGAAACAAAACCAGATCCCATGATCGTATCATTTATTTCCTGCAGTGGGAAACTGTGATATTGTTGTATTCACATAACAACATGTGACCAACAACACACAGAGCTCATCAAAGTGAACAGAGATTCACGCAGGCTGCACAGACGGGGCTGTACCTGGATGGTGAAGGTGCCCTTGGCAGCGTCGGTCTGCAGGTGGATCTCCATGGGAGCCGTTTCACCTCCTGCTGTCATCAGTTTGTGACGCAGTTTTTCTAACGCATCACTACCGTTCGAGATCAGCTCCCTGATGAACACCTGGTGGGACGAGAAGGCAGCAGTTATATTTAATAATAATTTAATAATAATCTCACGTCGGCGTAGCTAAGTGGTTCTCCAATACACACTCTCTTACCTCTTTCTCTGAGTACAGGGACCTGGCAACAATGTCCAGCAGCTTTTTTGTTTCAGCCTGAAACTCATGCTTGGAGGATCCGCCTGGAAAAATCAGGGGTAAAACAACATTTTAGATCATGAACCAAACAGATGATTAGCGATGAGGTATCGTATTCAAGAATGATTTGAACTCCAGGTGTTCCAGCACCTTGAACAGACTCTGTGTCACTGATGATGGTGTGGAGGGGCTCCTCCTCCGGCTCTTTCTCTGCCTCCTGGGTGCTGTAGTAAGACTGCTGGCCGACACCGAGGCCGGAACGCTGAGCGCTCCACAGTCTGGCCTGACTGCTCCAGCTCTGCTGCTGCGTGACCCGCAAGTCTGATGACAGGAGGAACAAGGGAGTGGGGAGGTCAGACAACATCTCGTGGATTCACTTTGTCCTGATGGTGCCATGCAGAGCGCTCACTGATGAGGGTCTTTATTTAAATGAACTCAGGTTCATCCCCATGGACCTCATCGTAAGACTTTTACACAAAGTCTGGAGGAGTGCTGGACATGTGTCTGCTAAAAAGACTGACTACAGGAAACCACGACTTATTTCTGACTTGAAAACGTTTAATAGCTGACGTAGTTTTCTGTTTTGAGGAAACTGGAATCAGTGGGACTCACAGAGCCCGTTGTGACATCACAGCACAGAAACCTTTCTTCCGTTAATTAAACGTTTTGGGCGATAAAATAAATGAGTTCAGTCCATAGAGTTTGAGTTTTAAATGACCGTGTAATAACTTTGTATTTTGAGCGTATTGCTGATTTAAATCCACCTGCAGATGTCTCGTACGGATCCGACTGACAGACCGGCTCATAGTGTTCAACTACCGGCCGGTAAATTCAACATTTCGGCCAAATCTCACCTTGTGGCTCTGCTCGGCTAACGATGCTAACAAACATTAGCTCACCTGCGGACAAGGAGCGCGAGGCGGTTCTACTGTTCAGGCCTCGCGTGCACGTCGTTAGGCGCGTGCTGGTCCCCCGGGAGGAACCGAGCGCGAACCGAGCCAGCGCGAGACACCGGGACATGAGGACGGCGGTGGGACAGACGAGAGACGCGAAGACAGATTGACCTGCACACAGGTTGACCCGCAGAGACACACACACACGCTGAACGAGAAGACACAGTCAGGACCCCGCGCCTCGTGATGACGTCGGCATGGTGCGTCTCTGCGCTGCCTGATGAGAAGTGGGCGTCACTCAATCGATTAGAATCAGATTCGGTGGAAAATCGAACCATTTAATTTCAGTGGAATTGATTAAAATCACTGCTAGTTTTGTCCGCGCACGTTTAGAGTTAGTGCTAATTCCGTTCATGATTTAATTCGTTTTCATTTCTTTATTAAACCGTCAAGGTCAAACGGTGATCGTTTTACATAAAGTCAGATTAACAAACGCAAATGTTTAAAAATGATGTGACTGAGTTTATGTTTATGGTGAGTGCAGCTTAAAACCTGTTTGCAACTGGAATTTAAATCAGCAGAGCCGACACGTCTTCCCCTCGTGAATCCACTTTTAAATTCACTAGATCCATTTATTATTCTGATCTGCAACAAACTGCACACACGCAGATAAATGGCAGTCCCCTTAAAGTGCCGGCTTTTTCTCATCAAGATCCATTCATTATTCTCTGACAAATCGAGTGAGATGTTTGAAAAACAATCTCACAATGTTTTAGAAAGTCATTTTCCATCGGATACAGATCTGCATTCCGCATCCCTCCATTAAGATTTTAGGTAGTTAGTCCAGGAATTATTGGATAATCTTGCTTACAATCACACCGACAGGTGAAAACTCCTATGGCTGAGGTAATAATATGGTACTCTACTGGATAATCAATTAATCATTATATCAATCTTCAAGTAAAATCCAAGGAATTGATGGTCCCAGCTTCTCAAACAATAGTTTTTCTCTATTTTACTAAACTAAAGCTCTGTTTTATAGATCAACTGATTAATAATGAAAGCAATCAGGAGTTGACTGATAATAATCAATAATGCTAATGATGACCCAGACAGTTTTCTACAAACATAAAAAATAGACTTAGAATTAGTCTGTGGCACACAGGTTTATTTAACAATATGGTATATAAGTACGAAATGAGCCATTTGAACCAGTTTGTACAGTGATTTCATTCTTATTTTCTGCATATTTACAGTACTGTCTAGCTGCATGATTTACATTAGGGAACAGTTCATCAATTCAAGTTTAATGCAAGAGAGACAATGATGCACAAAACTCTCTCTGAATACAAATCAGCAGTCAAACAAATTAATTTCCCACCACAGGCAAAAGAGGTTCAGTACTTAATGAGAATTTCTTTATACTGAAGGAGAGACAAAGCAATTTCTTTTAAATATCTGCAAGACAAATACTGGGCCCGGGCCAGTAAACTGAACATTCTGGCACCTGTGAACATTACAAGCTTCAATGCAAGTTTTTCTTACACCTGCATGTTGTGTTTGGGTGTGTGCAATAGTTCCTAGATCTATACAAATACGTTAATCTCCCATAGACTCTGCAAACAGGAAAGAAATTAAGGCTTTCCCAAAGGCAGTCCTTTTGAAAAATGGCATATTAGAATAAATTAGCCAGGAACAAGAGAAATTGAGCAAGAGGTGAAACCTGGCAAAAAATTCCCCAGGCAAATAATTTTACAGTCTTCTCAACACAAATACGATATTAATTTGCAAAGGTACAAAATAAAAAAAGAATAATAAATTGAAATATTTTTTGTTTTGAGAAGTTTTGTTAAAAAAGTCAATACCAGAGCATAACAAATGAAAAACAAATTAAAACAACACAAAGACCAGGGCAAATTCTTGCATGGCTGGTCTGGAACCAAAAATATATTCTTTGTGTCTTTGTTGTCTTCTTTTCAACAGCAACTATTAAATCACTCTGTGTTGGAAGAAAAAGCAGTCCCTTGGTTTCAGGAAAGTTCACAGTCCGTAGGCCTCATATGACTCATTAGTTTGTTTTTTTTCGCTTTTTACATCAGCAAGTACAAAATCTTCTCAGCTGAAAACAGAACAAGGCCTTCTGTCATGAAATGCTACAATCCTTCAACAAATTTCTCCAACGTGTCTCCCGTCGTGTCACCCACCATACCCATGTCATTACTTAACCCCCCTCGATTTGGTGTGTTAAGCTGCGGCAGCATGGCACTCTGCTCTGGTGTTCCCATGTGTCCCTGCTCCATGGAGCCTGACATGGGGCCTCCAAGGCTGGGGTGAGGAGAACTGGAGTGGAGGGCGCCGTGCTGGGGCGAAGGCTGCGGCTGTATTCGTGGGGATGGACTGGAATGCGGGGGCTGCTGCGAAGGTGGACGGGGCGACTGCACTGGGGCTGGGGAGCGGACTTGGTTTCCTAATGAGTTTGCCATTACTTGGCCAGGTAGATGAGCTCCTCCCTGGGCTTGGCCTTGGAGCATGTGTGATTGAGGACTCATCGAGTTTGCCTGCGCTGGAGAACCCATCTGCTGCTTCAACATCTGCTGTTGCTGTTGAAGCATGCGCTGCTGGAGGAGATTCTGAGCCCCATCCATGCCCATGCCAGGTTGGCCCATTTGGGATGTGGGAGGGAGCTGGCCCATGGGGCCCCCACCTCCTTGCATAGCCATTTGCTGCATACGAAGCTGGGAGTAGCTAGCTGGCCCTGACTGCTGCTGAGGGAACTGACTATGGCTCTGAGGCATTCCTCCCTGCTGCTGCTGTGCCTGCTGCTGCTGTGCCTGCTGCTGCTGCTGCGCCTGCTGCATCCGGAGCAGCTGTTGTCTACGGTACAGCTGGGGATTGCCATTTTGAGCAGCGTTCATCATCTGACCTTGGGGGCCCATGGGTGCCATGTTTTGGGGCCCTACTTGCTGAGGAGGCTGCTGCTGGGGTGCCATCACTGGCCTCTGCACCTGGTTTGCCATGGCTGCCATGGCCTGCATTCCTGCCTGAGACCCTAGCATGGCCTGAGGGTTCTGCTGCTGCATCTGCTGCTGTGGCGGGTTGGCCTGGTACTTCGCTGTCCTTTGTTTAATGAATGCGGCCATGAGTTGGGGGTTAGACTTGAGGATGTTGAGAACCTGCTGTTGCTGCTGAGGGGAGCTGGGAGATTTGAGGGTTCGCAGCAAGTCCTGCAGGGCACTTGGAGCAATGTTTCCAGGCATTCCCCGGGGCATGTTTTGCTGCTGTGGTGTCATGCCTTGCTGTGAGGGCCCTTGGGGAGGCATGATCCCAGGCATTTGGAGACCCTGTTGCTGAGGCATTATGGGTCTCTGCATCAGCTGGCCCTGCTGGGGCATAGGAGTTCCCTGAGCCTGCTGAGAGGCCATGGGGCCTTGTTGAGGAGGGACCTGTGACGGATGACCCTGGGGATTCTGCATGGGATTTTGCATGGGATTCTGCATTCCTGGACCCCACTGGCCCTGCTGCATAGCCTGCATCACCTGAGGACCCCGCGGACCCTGCATCATCTGCATCTGGCCCTGTATCGGCCCCATCATTCGTGGGTGGTTCATGGGCATCCCATTCATGGCATAATTCTGCTGCTGCTGCTGCTGTTGTTGTTGTTGCTGCTGCTGCTGCTGTTGATGCTGCTGCTGCTGCTGCTGATGATGATGCTGCTGCTGCTGCTGCTGCTGCTGATGCTGCTGCTGCTGCTGCTGCTTTGCCTTGGCTACCATCTCAATTTGTTTGGCCACCTTCAGGGCTGCCAGCAGTGGTTGCTGCTGCTGCTGCGGTGGCTGAGGC